GAAAAAAAATTAAAACTAGTGCATCAAAGGACATTATTAAGAAAGTGAAAAAGCCTACAGAATGGGAGAAAATATTTGCAAATCATATAGCTAGTAAGGGCTTAATATCTGTATTTTATAAAGACCTACAACTCAACAACAAAAACACAAACAACCTGGACAAAGGACTTGAATAAACATTTCTCCAAAGAAGATATACAAATGGGCAATAAGCACATGAAAAGATGCTCCACATTATTAGTCATTACAGAACTGCAAATTAAAAACGTAGTGTGATAATACTTCACACCTACTGGGATGGCTATTATTAAGAAAATGGAAAATAGCAAGTATTGGTGAATATGTGGAGAAATTGGAACACTTGTACTTTGCTGGTAGAAATGTAAAATTGTATAGCTGCTGTAGAAAACAGTTTGTCACTTTCTTAAAAAATTAAACATAGAATCACCATGTGACTTGTTAATTCCACTCCTACTATATACCCAAAAAGAATTGAAAACTGGAGATCAAACAGATACTTGTACACAAGTGTTCATTGCAGCACTTTTCACAATGGCAAAAGGCAGAAGCAAGCCAAGTGTACATTAATGGATGAATGGATAAACAAAATGTGATATTTACATGCAACAGAATATTATTCAGCATTAAAAGAGACAAAGTTCTAATACATGCTACAACATGGATGAACCTTTAAAACATGCCAACTGAAAAAAGCCAGTCACAAAAGGACAAATATTTTATTAATCCACTTATATGAAGTATCTAGAATAGGCAAATTCCTAGAGACAGAAAGTAGATTAGAGGTTCGGGTCTGGGGTAGAGGAGAATGGGGAGTTACTACTTAATGGGTACAGAGTTTCTCTCTGGGGTGATGAAAAAGTTTTGGAAATCAATAGTGAGGATGAATACACACATAGCGAATGTAATTAATGCCACTGAATTGTACACTTAAAAATCGCTAAAATGGCAAATTTTTTGTTATACATCTATTTACCACAGTAAAAAAACTAAAGTAAAATAATTGCTTTTTCTTAATGATTGGATACTAATTATTAACTATTTTCCTAAACTCCTAAGGCTTAAGATTACATAATGCCTGTAAATAGAAAACCAGAGACTACATAAACAGCATGCATGCACACACGCACAAATGTTTTCACATCCCCAAAAAGAAACTGTGTGCCAAGCTATGAGGAAAGATGCTAATAAGCAATATGTGTTTATTTCATGGCCCAATATTGATTTGTTTTATTCATGATAGATGTGCTTTTTAAGTCTACGAACTTTTAAATATGTCATAAGTAGGGTCTGGATTATTCCCACTTAGTGCTTAAGTCTATTTGACTGCTAGAAAGCTTGCTTATCCTTTGAAATTTTTTCCTGAGAACTTCACGCAATTATTCTTATTTCTTAAGTTCAGATTTTTTTTCTTTATGTTCATCCACAAATGAGATTCCACAAGGTTTTTATTAAACTATGTCTATAAGCAAGGCCACTACTTGCCAGTTCAACCTTATCAATTGGTTAAGTATTGAAATACTTTCCACATTGCTTGGTGAGCTGCTGCCCTGATCCTCCTCAGCTGCCCCATCACTACCCTGGCTTCCTTGGGCCCTCTGTTAGGACCACCCTGAACCTGCCATGATGCAGAGTTAATACTATATCATGGCAGGGGGCCTCCAGGCCCCCATTCCAGCCCTTGGCTATATCTGATGTGCCCATGCTATGCCTCTTGTTAAATATTTCGAATATCACCTCTGCTTGCAACTGTTTTATGTATTAGCATAACAGATGCTTTACATGATTAATTTACTTTGTCAAAAAGGATTCATTAATAAACACCTACCCTATAAACCAGTTCTAATTATAACTATAAAGATAATTCAGTCAGAAGAGGCTAGGTTATGCTGCATAACAAATGACCCCAGTATCTCAGTGGCTTATGGCTACAGAGACCTATTTCTCTTTCCCACTACATGTTCACCACAAAGCAAGTGCAGCTCTGTTGCATGTGATCTTTATCCTAAGCCCCAAGTTGACAGAAGCAGCCTCTATCTGAAACCTTGCCAGTCTTAAAGCAGAGGGAAAAGAAAAATAGAGAAAACGAGCTGGATTTTAAAGCTTCTGCTTGGAAGAAACACATATCATTTCTCACAATTTATTGACCAGAGCAAGACACATGGCCAAGCCTGACATATATGAGCAACGAAGTTTAATCCTTCCTCTGGGATTTGACAGAGGATATTTTTGAACAATAATGAAATCTACCCCAGGGCAACAATAGAATTAGAATACATAACCTCAACCCTCTGGAGCATAGAGCTGAGTGCAGGTTTGTATGTTTAAGGGTATAACAATAACATTCTTAGTATAAGAAGAGCCAACGGCACTGATATTTTGTAATCATATCTGAATCTTGGGCTTTCTTTTCTCTGTGTGCTCAACAGCTGCAACCACTGGGCTGCAACATTATTAATGTTTCCAGTGATGAATATGGGATTATACCAGACTCCCTTAGAGAAATACTTTCCAAATGGAAACCAGAAGATTCAAAGGACCCCAAGAAAAACACTCCCAAATTTCTTTATACTATCCCAAATGGCAGTAATCCTACTGGAGACTCATTCACAGCGAACCGCAAAAAGGAAATCTATGAGGTATTCTAAAAGAATGTGTTATGTGACTATGCTCTTGTTTCTTTTTGACTTTTTAGAAGTGTACTGTCCAAGTTCCCTTTCTTAGTAGCCTGTTGCTTTCAAGGAAGATAGTTTTTAATAAAAAGAAGTCATCTATGCCACGGGTCCTAAGAATGTAAACATAAGGAATTACTACATGCTTTGTTAACTAGGAGATTTTTCTTTCCCTTTAATTGATATTTTCATAAAAAGAAATAGCATTCTTGGCCTGATGTTAAATTTTATGAGGTTATTTAATATTTGACCCCAGGTTTGATTTTCGTTATTTTATTTTTGTATTTTCAACTTGTCTCTTCTCTTTCTTACTCATTGTCATTTCAGGTTACAAAGAAATTCTTTAAAAATAAGAGGCATGTTCCTTTTGTAAAGTCTCTTTTACATACCTGACTGCAGTGCCTAAGCTTCTCACCACAAACATTTTTTAAAAGTATCAACACATATTGAGCTATACAGAAATTTTGACAAATAAGAGAAATGTGCCTTTTTGTAAAGTCTCTTTTATGTCCCTGTGTCCCCTAGCCTTCACTATAAATAGCTTTTTAAAATAAGTACCAAACCCATGTTAATCCATATAGAATTTAATCCTGTGTATTGGAATCATAAGAAAGATTTCAAACAGTTCCTGAATATATACATGTTCAAAATATTGTCTTATTCTTAATTTTTCACACATCCTGAGTTCTGCCCCGAGTTCTTTTCTTATTTACACACTCCCCTTAGACAGCCTCATCCAGTTCTATGTCTGTAAGTTCCATTCTGTGATGGAAATGCCTCCCCTCTGAACTTCGGACTTCTGTATCCAACTTCTCTATCCAACTTCTGCATCCAACAGCCAACTTAAATGTCTAATAGTCATTTCAGACTTAACATGGCCAAATAGAACCCTTGATTTTATCTAGCCACACCTCAAACCTCCAATCCACAGCCCCTCAGATTCTCCATCTCCATAAATAGTACCACCATGAACATTACCTTCTAGTCCTCTCTTTCGTTTCTCTTCCCCACCAACCCCCTACATCCCGTCTATTCTGTGGACTCTACCCACAAATTTACCCAAATCCATTTGTTTCTCTCTACTGCCATTACTATTACGGTCTTCTCAGACACCGCCATCCCTCCCTGGTCTGCTACTACGGTTTCCTCAATGGACCCTTCCTGCACTCCATTCTTGATCTCTAACCATTCATTCTTCTCACAGCATCCACTCATGTCCTTCCCCGGGGGAAATGTAAGTGTAAAGCCAGTCTCATGATCCTCCTGTTTATAATCCTCCAGTGGCTTCCCCTTTGGAATTAAAGTAAAATCCAAATTCCTTTATCTGCCTTGCAAAGCTAGGCAACCCGGTCATCTATTCTCAAGCCTTGTCATCTCTTATCATGGCTGCAGCCCCCTTGCTGCAGCCCCACTGGCCTACTTTTTACCCTGAAACATATCAAGTTTTTTTTTCTCACCCAAGGGCCTTTGCTCTTGCTTATCCCTCAGTCTGGAATCTTCTTCCTGATATTTGGACAACTGGCTCCTTCCTGTTCCTCTGAGCCCTCTTGTTACTTTGTCAGGAAGAGCTTCCCAGTGATTCAACCTGAAATAGCTACCCTGTCTCTCTCTCTCTCTTTTCTCTTTCTCTCTCTCTCTCAAACATCACCCTGTTTAATGTTCTGGCTCGCCCTTAAAATGCCATCTAATATTTCTGTTCATTATCCATTGGCTGATGTATGTTCTGTCTTTCCCACTAGAATGTAAGTTCATGAGGACAAGAGCCTTTAGTGCCTTGTTTATCTCTTTGTCTTCATTGTCTAGACAATAGGCACTTCAACTCAGTAGCTTCTTGAATGAATGAGGACAAAGAATTATGATTCCAAATGATTTTAATTTTAAATAGCTCTTAAGAAATAAATATACTACTTTAACCTTTTTTTAGTTTGCAAGAAAATATGATTTCCTCATAATAGAAGATGATCCTTACTATTTTCTCCAGTTCAACAAGGTAAGTGACAATGCGAACTTATTTCACAATTAGAAGATAAGGTATTGCTCTGCATTTGATTTTAGCCTGGCTGCTAATCCACTTTTACATTGAAATTGAATAAATGATTGTTAAATTGCCACTGCTTCAACTTTTAGTCTGTCAGTTTTATCATGGAAATAGTACTTTTCACTTCTGGTATTGCTGCTTTTTCCAGAAATTATTTGCCTTTAAAATAGTAGCTGGCTCTCTGTACCATGCATTTGGGCAAACAGAGTAAGTCAGGACTAATAGTCTTCTTGAGCTCCAAACCCTAGTCCATGGCTCCTTAAACATCATACCAAGATGAACTGGGTTTCCTCTTGGGTGTCAACTTCAGTCTCTTGGTAGTGGCTGACTGGAATGATGTCTGAGAAGGATTTGGAATCTGTGTTCAAGCTGAAAGAGAAAGAGGGCTCAATTAGTGATGTCCATTATGGACATAGGAAAAGGTGTTACTAGCAGCATGCCACCTATTTGCCATCCCTGTCATTTAGGTCCTGGATCTTACCTGCAGAATAATGGGTTTTTAGCTTCCTCCTCACTATATACACCACTTTTCATGATCACTGTTTCCTAATAGACAATAGTAGTGGTACAGACTCCCAATGCCTGATTCCTCAAAGTCAAATGCTATCTTTATTTGCTCTCAAGACTGCAGAGAATATATCCTTGGATTTGGTTCCCGCTTTAAACCTACTGAAAAGAAACAAAAACTCTTGATTTTTCTATATGGTTTGCCCAAATATCATGTCTGCCTACCTACACCCGACCCTCAACATGAACATGGCCTGCTTTCTTGTATGCATCTATTATTGAAGTCAATATTACATATTGAATAAATTTCTTATCTTCATTCTCATTTTTTTAAATCTTTCTAGTTATTCTAAGGATCAGTATTCTGTCTCTAAACAATCCTGAATGCCACTGGCCCTCTTCGTTTTGATCTTATCCAAATTAGTTTTTCTTGAATCCTTCCTCTAAATCTGTTAATCCTGGATTTCTATCCTTGGGGCAAGGAGGACCTGGTTAAGGTTTTCCTAAATTCATAATAATGGCATCTTGAACAAATGAGTAAATCTTTGTATGTGTTTTTGGCAGACAAGCCACGAAGACAGGCAGGTACTAATAAAAAGAACATGAATCTCTGTCTCTTATTCCATTTTAAAGAGTTGAGATAAAGGTAACAGAAAAGGTGGTTGTGCTACTGTGATTCAAATCTGTGCCCTCTCTATTCTCTACATGAAGTGGTTACACAGTCACTAACAGACTTCTCAAAGCAACAGTAATTTTTTTTCCATTTCAAGTCCTGGGTACCATCATTTCTTTCCATGGACGTTGATGGGCGTGTCATCAGAGCTGACTCTTTTTCAAAAGTCCTGTCCTCTGGGTAAGGCCCTGTTTCTCTACCTTCGACTAGATGTAAGAGAGATAGAGACTGTACCTCAGTATCTTCTAGTCCAAACAATTCTTTTCATTTAAGATGCTTGTATTCCACTTGTCTTAAAATGCCAGTTTAATTATGAATATGAATATTGACCTTTTCTCTCTATTGATCTCCAGTAGTCACAGGAACTTGGCCATTAATGTAAAGTTGTAGATGGACAGGTCAGGTTTTGGTTTCATACATGAAAGAGCACATTTAGAAATACTTGGTCAGACTTGGGTTACATTTTAAATGTACAGTTAAATTTAAATTTGTATTTTAAAGAAGTAGTAGTTAGTTTTATCGGAATGTTTTAATTGTCTAGGTCCATTTGCCCCCAGGTTACAACTCTCTTCCTAATGAATTCAGGAAAGTGACATGTATTAATTGTTAATAAAAGATTGGTGTTGTTCCTTTTCTCTTTTGTGTAGGTTGAGAATAGGGTTTATAACTGGTCCAAAATTCTTGATAGAGAGAATTGTTTTACACACACAAGTTTCATCGTTGCATCCTAACACTTTTGCACAGGTAAGGACAATTTAGGAAATAGGATTTTTTTTTAATCAGGTAAGATAGAAAATAGATGTTGGCAAGTAAGATTGAGTTAAGGTAGCAGGGAGGGAAAGCAGTGATATTGAATCTCTAGTTTCCAACACAGACTGAATTAAAAAACTCGACACTGCAGAGGTTTACTCTAAGACAAATGAGAATTGAATTAACCTGGTGTTATTCTCCGACATAGACAAAACTCCTTGAGAATCGGGCTATCTTATTCATCTTGTGTCCATAGCATCTAGCCCAGGAACTCCATAAAAACTATTGAACTGAGCAAAATGGAACTGGGTTTGGTGAAGTGATAAAACTTGAGCTTCATTGTCTTGGGATCTATAACCGGAACAAGAATTCCAAACCAGTCCAGTGACTTACTGTGCTTTCATTGCACATGTGCTAACCTCCCCTAAAAGCATTAGTTGGATTGTATTTTAATTAAAATAAAGTAAAATTAATTCTGGAGAATGTAAAAATTCCTCACAAGCTTTGAGACATTAATGGATCCATCCCAAATGCAGTCTTGAGAATCAAGAGAGAGAATAGAATTGCTTCCTAACAACGCAAAATGCATAGAAAAACTTATGTAGAACAGCACATTTGTTTGATATGGTACATTCTATAAAGTGCAGAAGTCCCTGTCTTTTATCAAGTTGGGGACTTTTCCATATTTCTTGTATCTGTTATCAACAAAACTTCACTATCCATTGGTAAAATTTAGAACTTCCATTTTAGATAGAATAATCTCCAAATACATTACATAACTTTATACATCTACTATATATTTTTTATATTTAGAGAGGCAGTACAGTATGGTAATTAATGGCATGGATCTGGAGCTGGATATTCTGACTTGAAATCTAGGCTCTGTGACTAGTTGTGCGACCTCAAGAAAGTTAAATTAACCCTTGTGCCTTGGTTTCCTCATCGGTAAAATAGAAATAGTAACCTGCCTAATCAGGTTATTATGAAGATTAAATTAGCTAAAATATATTAACATGTTATAATAGTTTCTGGCACATAGCAAGTACTATATAAATATTTGTTGTCTTTTTCATTCTTGTCATTGTTATTAACATTTATTATAAATCACTGACTGTATAAAGCTTGGTTCAGCTTATTATATTTCCTTATGGTAGTTTATACATAACCAAGAGTGACTCGCTTTTACACTTGGCAAAAAACACATTTTAGAGGATGAACCATGACACTTGTTATTGTCATCTTTTTTAGTTTTTGATATCACATCTTCTACGCCAATGGGGAGAAGAGGGCTTCCTGGCTCATGTTGAGAGGTATTGTATTTTAGGTTCCATATTTTACAGAGAAGTAGACTTGACTTTACTAATTTTCATTTTTTAATTGTTCCACAATGAAAGAAAGAACACAGTGGTAACAAGTATACCATCAGACAGGTCAAATAAATATGCTCTATCCCCTTATCAAGCATTCAACATTTGAGTCAAGACAGAAAACAGATTTTTAAAGACTGGACTCTAGAGCCTTTTAGTTTCTGCAATCAATAAAGTAAATACATCCTTTTCGTTGTTTTCTTCTTCTAGGGTTGCTCAATTCTACAGAAACCAGAAGGATGCCTTGTTGGCAGCTGCAGACAAGTGGTTAAGTGGTGAGCAGAATCTACATCCCATCCTGGGATGAGCAGTAGCACCTACACGAGTGGGTGATAAACAGTCGAAAGGATTGTTAATAATCCTGGGGGGAAAGAAACAAGGATCCGGGAGTATTCTTGTCAAGAAAAATGTTACCCTGTAAATCATCTCAGAAGTAGCAGTCTGCAAACCCTGACACAATTCTACCTATCTCTACTGTCTGCTGCAAAGAATTTGTGGTTACAAAAAGAAAAACTAGTCTAAAAATCAACCAGCGAGAACTTACTTAAAGCTATATAACATCTATACTCAAAAGGTTTTAGTTATTTCAAAGTTTTGCCCCAAATAAAAGAGGAATTGTCAAACAAACAACATACTCCTTTTCTAACTAGACTGTATAAAGACAAATAGTACAATCTAAGGCAGGTTTCTCACTACAGATTATTTGCCTTCTAATCATTAACTTCATATATGTGTCTAATATTATCTATTGCTAATTTGATTGCCGGATCATTTAGATTTAATTTTTCTATTAAGGAAGAATGTCAAATGGATTACATGGCTTTCATTATATCATTAAAAGTTTCTTTGGTATGAATAATAGTAAATAAAAAATATCAGTTCCTTATTTCTTTCATATCTTATTCCCTATAAAGTCTTGGTAAAAACATAATATTATCTTTTTTTATAAGACTGCTATTCTACCACTTTGTATAGTGGAGTTGAAGAAAAGATTTTAATCAACAGCAAGTTTTTTTAAAAAAGACAACTAAAATCAAAATAATTATCCTTCCTTCTTGATTTCTCTATCCTGATACTCAATGAAATATAAAGCCTACAACTGCACCTGGAGTTCTTGAATTTTAAGTACTTCTTTTCATAATTAATTACATTCTGGTAAAAACTCTAATCCATTGGCCTTCTAAACTATGACATAAATGATAGCATTTATTGAAACACTGGAAGAATCTAGAAAGAGTTGAAGAATCCGCTTCTAAAACTGAAAGAGCCGTATTTGTCCTAAGCCTGGTTCTAACTAAGGAAGGTAGACATCAGCGCTTGATTTCTTGCAGTCCCGAGACTGACTGAAATTATAAACATACACACGAGTCTCCCTCCCTCCCTCACACCCTCTCACTCACTCGCTTTTTGAAATAAAACTCACAACATCTATTTTAAGGGCTCTTAAAATTATATTTTTAAAAAAGCGTATCACTGAAGAAACTTTTTTGGAAATCCTAGTTTCGATTAACTGCAATTATGTCATTAAGTGATATATTCGATATCATCAAAAACACCTTTGGAAGATATTTATTCTCTTCTTTTGTTTGTAGGTTTGGCGGAATGGCATGTTCCTACTGGTGGAATATTTTTATGGATTAAGATTAAGGGCATTAATGATGTAACACATCTGATTGAAGAAAAAGCCCTTAAGAATGAGGTAAAACAGGAGGAAAAGTTATACTTTTTCTTTAATTTCTTACTTAAATAAAAACGGCAAGAAATGTTTATCGTGGCCCACCACCCCAACTCATAATGTTTTAATGTCAGATATGTTATCTCATTATTAAAATCACAATAGATTTGGGGGTTACATAATTATTCTTCTGGTCTAAATTAATGGAAATAGAGTCAGTCTTCTCAGCTACTGATTGGCTTAGAGTCTAAGAGAACAGCGTCTGCGCCACAAGTCCTTGGGTTTGAATCCTAGCTTTACCTCCTACTGGATGCATGGCTTTGAGTAAGTTATCCTCTCTGAGTTTTGTCTGTAAAATAGAGATAATAAGAATCCCTCCCTCATAGGGTTGCTATGATGAGTTAATATGCAATGAGTTAATATGTATAAAGCACTTAGACTAATACCTGGCACATAGTAACTGCTCAATAAATAGTAGTCATTAGTATTTAGAATAGAAGGACTTTCTTTTCCTGATTATGAAAATAAAGCATACTCATGGCAGCAAACTTGGAAAACGCATAAAAGTATAATGAAAAATTTTTAAATAGCCCATAATTTCACCACCCAGATTTTGTGACCATTTGTGTTATATTTTCTTGAAGAGCTTGTAGATACCTGGTATTTGGGCTATGCAATTATTTTGCATGGTTAAAACTACACAGATAAGTTCGTACCCTGCTTCTTTCACTTAAAATTAGCCCAAGAGGATTTCTTCTGGGTTATTTTTTTCTTCTTTTGTACTTAAATCGTAATTCTTAGATTTCTTTCAAGGGCATTGATTAAGCTAAGAAATCTAAATATTTTTCTGTGTAGCTTTCCAATTTACCAAATAAATTATCCTTTCTCCATTAATTAATACCTTTATCATGTTTGTCTGTCTCTGTAAGCACTAAGATCTGTTTCTAGGATCACTTTTGTCTTGAAGCAATAAGTACAAAGGAGGAGATTGTGTTGATGTTGGCAAGGCATGATGCTTATCCATAAGAGACAAGGTGGTCTCGAGGTTAAACCTGGGAACCGACTGACTGGACCTCTGTGCTAGCTCCGCTTCCCTGGGAAAGTCACTCATCTTCTCTAATCTTCTCACCTGAAGACAGGACTCATGCTCTATTAATTGTTCTAATCCTACTAACAGCACATAGTAGGTACTTAATAAATACGTAACTGACATTTCAAAGAAATACATTTTAGTCTAATAAATCAATCATTTAATATTTTCTTTGCTTTTCTATCAATGCCATTATCACCAAAAACATTTCATAAGTGGCTATTTGTGTATATCTCTGAGGTGGGTGCTAAGGATATAGACTTCAGATTTTATTGGAGTTCTTTCAGCCTCTTCATTTATTCCAAACATCCTGTTGCATATACCTTTACTTTTTCTAACCTCCAACTTTGTCACCACTGCCTTGGCCCAGATTTTGGTCATCTTGCAAAGAGATGTAATAACCACTCTTGCAAAGAGTGGTAATAACCACTCCCTTCTCTTATAGCAACTTGCTTCTAGCACATCCCCAAACTTTCCCACTATATTGGGAGAAATGATGATTTTCATTTGATTGTTAATCAGGACACAGAAACCCATCTTCTGCCTTGAAATCTTCTCCCCAGAGTATCCCAAATCATTTCACTGCAACTCACCTTATCTTAGCAGACAGTACCCAGATTTATACTATGAATCAACAAGCAGTTACTTAATGCTTTTAAATATCACAATTGTACTAGATAGTAGTCTCAAAGACTAACATAATCAGTTTATTTCTGACTTACATAAAATTTTCAAAGATGTGATCTGCAGGCAACTCTACTCCAAGCAGTCATTCAGAGACCCTGGTTCCTTCCATCTTCTTGCTCTTCAACCTTAACACAGATTCCAGGATGGTTACAAAATGGAAAGAGCATGGTGGATCACACATGGGAAGATTTTTATGGGCCAGGCCTAGAAGTTCGCACACATGACTTCACATCTGTTGGCTAGCATTCAGTCACGTGGTCACATATAACTAGAAAGAGACTGGGGAATAGAATATATTTGTATGCCAGGAAGCAGAGGAAATGTCCTTTGTAACAGTGAGCTGTCTGCCACAGTGGTCATCACGAATAGCAGTCATTCCCACTCCGTCTTGACACATTTACTTAACATTGTCTTTCCTTCAGTTTATGTATTAAATTTTTTACTTTCTTTCAGTTCTTTGATGGGACCAATTTTCTTCCCATCGCAGGGCCTTTACACTCAGTATCTTCCTCTCTAAAATACTCTTCCTCTACTTTCTTCTTGGCTAACACCTACTTATCTTTCAGGTCCCAGCTTAAAAATCACTTCCAAATTTGATAACTTAAAAATGGTGTCTCATTGTTTGAACTTACGTGACTTTTCTAGTTAGATTAAACATTTATTCATGTTTATTATCATTTCTATTTCTTTTGTAAGCTCCTCTTTGCCCATTAAAGTTAGAATTTTAGTGAGGTTTTTTCCTAAGTTTCTGTGCATTCTTTATATATGGAGAAGAGGTAGCCATATTTATTGTAAACATTTTCGAGTTTCTATGTTTTCTTTATTGTATGACATACACAATTTTTATATAAACTGATTTTGCCCTTGTTATTTCTTTAATTGCTTTTAAACTTAAAAAGTCCTCCCCCACTCTGAGATTAGATTTACCTTTTTTTTTTCAGTTTTTCTTTAATGGTAATTCACTTTTTTCCATAAACTCTCTTAGGTATTAGTAACTCCTGGAAATGTTTTCTTCATTGATAGTTCAGCTCCTTGCCCTTACTTTAGAGTGTCCTACTCGCTGGCTTCTCCTGAAGAGATGGATGTGGTGAGTACAATATTTTCTTCAGAGTAACACTAGATATCAATTCTATTTTTTGGTGCATGTGTTCATTTTGTAAGTTACAACATTAATTAATGTCTTCTTGGGTTTCTGAAAAATAAATATTTGTTAAAAAGTCACAAATTACCACTAAAAGATACATTTTAATGGTAGCAAATAGACAAATGCATGAGACCAAGTTGGAGTTAAATTTTATTGTCTTCATGAATAGTTTTCAGACCTACTGAAGGGTGTTAGGTAGATTACCAACATGTTATGAAGAAAACCTCTTTCCTTCCTTCATGGAATTAATAGGAGCCAAAAGTACAAATTCATGATAGCCATTAGTCTCTTTCTCTGAAGAAAAAAATATCAGCAAGGGTCAAATAGAATAATATTCTTAAAATAATCACATAGTCTAGGTTTAACCAAAAATAAGAAGCAAAAACAAAAAAGTTCCTAAGGACTGTGAGCCTGAGAATCCAAATAGAAAAGCCATACATGGAACAATGCCATCGAGGAGAGTCTATACTTATCCTGGCAGATGGATTGGTTCTTGGTATGTTCTTTATTTACTGCTTTCTCATGTCATTCAACATGCTTTTCATAAGCTCTCTCTGCTTTTACACATGAGTAGAATTGGGCAATTATATAGAATACATATGCAGGTGAGAAATTATTTGAAAAATAAAATAATTTGTGTGGTGGGGAAAACAGAAAATGATGATCTTGAGGGCTATAAGAATAAAAACAAAATCCTAGGAATCTGACATGCTTATATCTGCATATGCTACTAATGGATATTGATAGCATCCTCCCCAGATAAAGCCAATGTTAAACATGACTTCTAATTGCTTTATTTCAACCTAAGATGGATACTTTTTATTTGAATTTTTAAAGTTATGACAGACTTTTCCTGAGTAACATCCTAATTTCATTCATTCTTATCTCTTTTCTATTTTAGGCTTTGCAGAGATTAGCCCAAGTTATAAGAGAATCTTTATGAAGAAATCAAACTCATCATAGTATTCATAGATTTTTCAGATAAATTATTTTTACATTTTAACAGGAAGAAATGATTATTGGTGTTAGACTTTCAGAATAAATTTCATCCAACGTGCCATATCTGTAGTAATTTAACTAGATAACTTTTAAAGTGTCCTTAATCCATCAGATTGCCAAAATATACTTGTAATCCACTTATACCTTTTGATAAATTTTTAACCTAAAAAAGATTATTTTCATCCTGGATTTTATTGTAAAGAACTCTATAATTACTTAATAATTTCCCATAAATTTTTTGAAACTAACATTTTACAGTAAATTATCTTGAAAATGTAAGAAAACCAAGTTCAAAATGGTATAAAATGTGAAGTTTTTCTATTTTCAGGAAAATTCAATGAGAGCTTGTTGCAAAAATTGTTAGAATTTGGCGGTTATAAATGATTTCAGTAAGAGCACCGCAGACATTATGTTATACCATAGAAATCCCTTTAAAATAAAATTCTGAAATTAAATATACCTAGAGGCACCAGATCTATTAATTCTATGTAAGTAGGAGAATTAAAAGACTTAGAAAAATTTGCTACATTGTATTTTCATACTACTACACAACTTACAAAAACATTCTTATTAGTTATGTAGTCTAAATCCAAACCCCTTTGAGGTACTTAGGATATACTTTTTTAATGACTTTTCTCTCCCACCTTTTCAGATCTTTATTTTTCCCATCAGATTATTGAAGTAATATATGCTCATTTTAAAATTTTCAAACAACCCTGAAAGCGTAAGGAATAAAGTCAAAATCACTCTCTATCTGACCCCCCAGTGATAACTGCTGTCAGCATTTATCATCCAACCTTTAGATGTTTTTCTGTGCGTATACATGTTATATGTAGAAGAACAGGATCTCGTTATGACAGCGTTGTCATAAATACCCTGTATTAGTTTCCTATGGCTGTGTAACAAATTACCACAGTGTTCCAAGATCCAGTAATTATAAAGTTATAAATTCCTTTAAGGAATTAGGAAGTTTATGTCATTGTCATTTAGGTCATCCTTTTGGTGTATATAAACATCTCCATCATAGTTATTATCTTCCTGGCATCTGGATGAGATGCCACATTTTCCAGCAGTTCAAATTCTTGAGCAAAAATCTCACCTCATAGCTCAACTCAAATCAGCCAGCACCAAACCCAAATCCCTATTTCTAAGGCAACCAGTGGTAGTTCTTAAGGAGAGATTGGAGAGACGCAGGGCCTGGAGGAAGGATGAGATGAGGAACTTGACAATTCCATCAATCGTGAGAAGAGGAAAGTGTAAATTGGAGAGATTTATAAAAGCAAAAGTAAAATAAGCCTTCCACTTACTTTATTCAGTAGTTCTCAATGATAACCAGAATTGCTTAGCCAGCACTGTATAAATGAGTGCCTTGTTTTTAAGTGACCAACATAGAGTAAGTTGATTTATAATCCCCATCTTTCAAGAGTGGATTACCCCTAACCACAATCCATAGAAATCTGTTTCTACCAAGAAAAACAGAGCGAGAGAACACTCAAGATGATTAGGCTGTCCTTTATTACTCGATGTTCATCTCATCCAAGTAAGATTACCTTCACCTCGTACTGCAAAGCATAGAAAACTGGAGCCTCACTTGTTGCTGTTGCCATTGTGAATTTTTTCAACCTTTTGGGAAAGCAATTTGGCAGTGTGTATCAAGAAGTATTAAAATGTTTACACCCTTTAACACAATGTGTTAGACACTGTGGATTGGCTCACTCAGCACAAATTCGAATTTCCTTCTAGTGTCTCTGAGCACTGTAGAAATGAAATGCTACATTTCCAGATGCTCTTGCAGCTACAGTTCCAGGTACGATTTAAGTTCTGTCATTCAGATACCTGCATTCAGAACTGAGTTAAGAGGGGAGCAAGGCAAGATGCCAGGCACTGTGCTTTTATACTAAGCAGCTTCTTGGTTTGGGAGTTTCTGATTCTGGCAGAAGCAGTGAACTGCTGGATAGAAATTGTTCCTGGAAGCTCCATCTCCTTTTTCAGCCATTCCAACAATTTTGGAAACCACAGAGTACATAATAATCACACTTTTTGCTTAAGCCAGCTAGAGTAGTTTCCACTATCTGCAACTGAATGCCAACAGGCCAGGTGTGTCAGGGTCTCTAAGACCACCCTCTGGCTTGAGGATTTGCTAAAACGACTCAGAGGACCCAGAAGCTGTATTCACAGTTGCAGTTTATTACAGCAAAAGGACAGAGTCAAATTTCAAAAGGAAAAGGTGCATGGGGCAAAGTCTGGAGGAAACCAGGCTCAAGCTTCCAAGAGTCCCCTCCCAGCAATCACACAGGATGCCCTCAATTCCTTCAGCCATGATATGTGACAATACATGCAAAGTGTTGTCAACCAGTGCCTGGCAGTCCAGGGCTTTTACTGGGCATCAGGCACAGACACCAACAGTGTCTGCAGGGCTGACCTCAGTTACTGAAGCTCCACACCCACAAAGGGAAAGTAGGTGTTCACCGTGAATCACATTTTTAGTAGAAACTATCTGGAAAAACTCTCATAGCATGGTTCAAGACCCCAGGGAAGCAGAACTCTCTTAGTCAGAATATTCCAAGAGCTCAATTCCCAGTAGCCAGGCAAGGGCCAGTCATGAAAAAAGCCCTGTTTGGGGCAAGTGCATGGTCTGAGTGACCGAGATCTGCTGAGTCATCCTTTCCCACCCACCAGGAATCTGACTTCTAGACATTTATAGTAAACAGTTACCCAAAATAGGGAAGGAACTAAAAAGTATGAAGATAGTCATTGTAATTTAAAACAGCAAAAAGCTGGGCGTGAGGGTTGGGTAGAGGTTTTGTGACTAAAGTTCTCACAATAGGAAAATAGTTATGTCATTACGGTTCATCCACTTAAAGCTAAGTTTTAGGCCACCACTAAATCACCATTATGAAGCAGTATCATTCATTTTATGAAGCATTACGTTAAAGTGATTATAATATGGAATGAAAAATCAGGGTATAAAAGTATACATATACTCTAATTACAACTATGTACAAAAGTAAGACGATATCTACCAAAAAGACTACAATTGGGTAATGTTTTCTTACTTTCAAAATATTCTATAACATGGCTCTTTACGTTCATAATTTAAAAATACATTTTTTTTTAATACCTTACACAAACTAGTCACACTTTTTTCAGTTGGATAAGCAGAGGTTCCTAAAAAGAAATTAAAATATCTAGGGACAGCAAGGGAGCAACTACCGTGTAATGGAAACTCAAACTAAGTCGTATCCGCACAACCATAGTCAACTTGGATCTGGTCAATTACATAGGTTTAATTTTCCTCCTGTTAGTTTACATAGCTTCTGTGTGGCAGCCATGGTGTCACCATTCATGGCACACAGTGAGCTGAAGCAGCCAGAGCATTTGGTCCTGGTATTCAATATGGTTATTTCAAGTTGGCCTAAAATGGAACAGTTGTCACTTGGCATAGTTTTCTTTGGATTAAATTTGAATATTTATTTGTCTCCTTTAGGAATCTCCTCCACTGCATGTAAGAAAGTCTTTAATGCTTCCCCTACAATACTCATATAGCAAGGTATATCCTCATATTCCTTTTCAAATGCTAATTAAATCTTCAGTGGGTGACCATTATTAACTGTATCAAAAGTAGGTTTAATTAAAATCTTTGGAGATTCAAGCCTAATGAAAATCAAATATCAACTAAACATCTAATTTTAAACTGGTGATGTGTGTTTATTAAGATTTTAAGTTCCCTGAAGTCAAGAACCATAACTCCTTTCTCTGGAACCCACTGGTAACCTGAAGAATGTCATTTTTAAAACGTATGTATCAATTAGCATGCCTTTACAGGTACCCTACTTTTAAGCTTCAGGATTTAAAATTCCACTTACTCATTTTATTCATTCAGGCAGGCAATATTTATTGAGTGCCTATTTTAGGCACTTAACATATAGCAGTAAACAAAACAGGGAAATTCTTGACCTCACAGAGCTTACGTTTGGGGCAAGGACTGGTGAGGGAAGACAGACAATAAAGAAATTACTTAATTAAAGTGTTTTACATAGTGTTAAGTG